AAAAAAAGGCTGCATAATAGATGTTTGTTTTTCTGGTTAAGTCCATATACATTCCTTCTGTTTTGTCCATTTATATATTTTTATGCATATTTTGTGTATTATGGAAATAAATCTATCTATCAATATAACAAAAGAACATGAGATGTAAACAAGAACTGCCTTTTCATCCTTGGTTTTTGTAAGTAATATCTTTTTTATTATCTTCAAATTTTAAAACTGTCTCCACTGGTGATTGTTCTCATCTTTTTATTTTCCATTAGATAGAATGAGTCACATCATGACCTTCTTTTTATTTAGAAAGGAAGTAATCAAGGTGATAAAGGTCTTAACAAAAGCATGATATACAAACTCGGCCACTTAAAACTAGATTTAACCACGTTCTGTTCTAAATGAAACAAAATTATTCACTTAACAACTGACTTTGATTTACTTATAAATTTGATTTATAGAGTTACAACCATAGCATATTTCCATTATTTTAAGTGACATTTACTCACCTTTGATAATTATCATATAATGCCAGGGGGTGGAGTTTTATGTGGTTAGCAATCTTTAGAGTGCTTTGCACCTGCGTCAGCTCTGAGTAGCAAGGGAAATAACGGTACACATGGCGTAGCCTTGACAAATACAGTTTTAAAAACTTGCTGCAGGCTGTGGTCGTAAAAGCACTGTATGTAGATCTTTGTTTAACTGGGGCCTAATAGACTGTAAGCCATTGGTGTTCTGATCATATGGTATATATTATATATATATATGTATGAGTCTTTTGTTTCTGTAAATGAACTGAAAACACTCTGCCTTTAGACTGATTTTAGTCTTGGAAGAGTAATGAAATCTTAAGAAGAGATATAAGGCTTGTCAGGAAAAGGTGAAANCCCCCCTCCCCAGTTACGGGCGTGATGAATCAGTCAGCGAGGGCAAGTCTGCTTAATAGCAAAATTTGTATGTCTATAAGCACTATTATTGTCATCGGGGACAAAGGAAAAGACAGGTACGTCATGCTTCCAGATTAGATCTTCAATTAATTGTTTCTTCCTCATTGACGAGAGCTATTGAAAGGACAACAATTGACAAAGGGCCGAGGCATGCAGCATCTATTTCACTGGCTTGAAAATTTACCGAGTCTTGTCGACGATGTGGTCGAACAATCGGAACAAGAAAAAAATTCTGTCCCATGATTTTGACGTATGGACTAATTGTTTGAGCCCAGAAAAATTAATTTTATAAAATAATTTTTGTGGTCGGATTGACTGGGCCCGTCGAAATGCTTGGCACATTACCGTAGTATTGATTGGACTGGGTAGAGAGATGAGGCTGGTCTGACTTGTTCAGCAATATATACATGTAAGATATATAGTAGTGGAGATTACTACAGGTGATCAATAGCTGCCCCTAGCCAGCCAGAGGGAGTACTGAAGCCGTACCTTTCATTGGGAGGTACAGCACAGTTGGGTAATACCTAGGGAGCAGTCTGTGCAAGGAAGGTCTTTCTACCTCAGAGAGGAGAGCTTTGTGCAGGAATTACCTGTTGTGTTGTGGAGTTAACCAGAAAGTAAGATGTGCTGCAATGAAAGCCTTGTAAAGTTAATTTAACTGAGGTTTTATTTGTAAATATGTGGGTTGTCTTTCATGCAGTATTTGAGCAAATTACAAATACTGTATATATCTCCCAAGTAAACATTATTCTGGCTTCTAACAATAATAAATTATGTGAGTGGTGTCTACTTGCATTAAATGTATAAAGTAGCTAGTATGGCAGTTAAATAAATCAGTGAAATTACAATGATTTATTTACGGTCCTCAGTGTGCATTTGTCTGTAAGTGGTTTGCTTATTTAAATAATATTTAATGTGTTATAATGTTATCAGTGAATTATATGGAGATTTGATCCTGTTGTAATACTAGAAGTGAATTGGGTGGATGATTTCAAATTGGAAGTTGTTTTTTTTTTTTTTTTTTTTGCTCTAAGGAACCATATATGTCAGATTATTTGTTGTGATCTTAATTTTGTTTTGATGAAAAAAGGGAGGGGCACCTGTTGCATAGTGTCTCCATAAAAGACATACAGGTGCTCTCTCTCTGTGAAAAGTTTGGTATGAAAAAGGTATGTAGTCACTGGTATGTATTAGTAGTAACTAGAGATGGCAATGGAGTGGTGATGATCATTTTTAATTAGTACTTCATTGGGAGGTCTGCCAAAGGATTAAAAGGGCTTTGGGGGTGGGGGAGAAAGAGGGGGTAGGGTCTCTAACTCTCATTTAAAACTGCTGCCTATAATGTGTCCTGATTAAGTGCAAGGAGGATTGAATGGCTGATACATGTATATAATCTGATTTTTACACATCTATCTGTGTAATTCTATGGATATCCTGGTGAAATGGATTTATACAGCATAATTCACATTAGCATATATTCTCATACACAATCAGATATTTGATGAATCATCTTTTTGTCAAGTTCTAATGGATCTGTGATGTGAATGATATGTACACATTGGACCTTTTATGGTTAGAAAACTACCCATAATATATAAAAGTAGCATGAAGACACCCATATATCTTTATATTTTAGGACATATTGCACCAGTTAGTCTGTTTAAATGCAGTTTTGGTACACATTTATATGAATATATATTTTTGTATTATTATATTTTATAATGCTGTGTGGGATTTGTATTTGGTATGAATTTCTGGTACAGGTATCTACTAGTACTCTGCAATACATCAAATAGAATGATTTTTTTTTGTTTCTTACAACGGGAAGTTCATATAAATAAAATAAAAGTCACGTAATTAAGGCAACAACTTACTGGTACAGAATACTTCACTGAAGTTTCCAAATGTCTCTCTACCTCTGGTGTTAGTCACCCTTCTCATTCATTCAAAACACAGCATCAAAAGAATTATTTCTTCTAGATTGTTTTCCTGAATGAAACTTCATTGTTGTATCCCACCATTTTCATTTGGCATGCATGACCTCAAATTTGATGTTTTATTTTTTTTACCAGTGCAACTCTATACATGTATATAAAAATTTGGCAATAGGAAGTCATAAAATGCATATAGGCAACATAAAAATTAACTCATTTTGACTGGGAAAATGCTTCCTTTGCCATCAAATCTAAAGTCAATTTTTTGTGAACAAGCAGAAAAATCTGAACAAATTATCTTGGAAAGTGGTTCGAATATTGTATAAAACATTGTACAAATTGGAAGAAAGTTTTTAGATAAGATGCTGAAGTGAAAATATTTTTGAAAAAAAAAACACTTTTCTTATTTATTTTCCTCTTCCCATATATTTGGGAATTCAAACTCAACAGGTCCTTGTGAGTTTACACCCTTTTAAATCATCAGCAATGGCACACAACAAATGTAGATATAGCAAACCTTTGGCGTTGATTTTCTTTCATCAGCATTTACACAGGAGATCATGTGTTAGTATTGCATGTGCTTGGAAGTTTGAATAATGACAAGGCACTGCTAGGATCAGGATTGTGGGAACATTGCTGGGGTCAATAGATTTCCTTTTATAATACATACATATGGTTTGTTATCGTGGATGTTAAAAGTGAATTGTATTATGTGATTTAATCAGGCGATATTGTCTTCAAAGTGCTTCAAGAGAGCAGTGATACATATATACATATTATTGTTTAAGGTGAGTTTTGATATAGAATAGACTCCTAATGTAAAGTGATTGAAGACAGATTTTTTATGCACATGTAGGTTTGAGAGAAATTTATTATTGATTTCCTTTCTAAAATGTGTTTATTATATTGTATACATATATCAAAGTGATAGAAAATCAGGGATCATGTCAGCGCTAAGTGCTCTGGTGTGTCAGTTTTTGACAGCTGGTTTCACTGAGGACGGCAGAGTAGGAGATAAATTATTTAAGGTGGGGAATGGAAAAAAGACATACAAACAGGAGATAAGATGCCTGATACGAGCATCTGTTACTCCTAGTAGAAAGCTATTGCATTGAATTGTGTTTCATTGTATGGATGCAGTGTTATAGTTGTCACATGAATATGAACCATATTTCCACTGACCCAGTACTTAACAGGGCCAGAGACTTTATGAAGACAGCGTCACGGTTTGTGATGGTCCCACTGTATCCATCTGATCAGAGATAACAACCTAGTGATTATCCTGACACTTTTAAGTGATGATATTTATGTTACCTGACAAAACTGGAGTGTTAAGATTCACTTACTGATGTCTGCCAGTCCATATCAACACCTTTAATAGAGGGGTATTTAAAGTTGATGTATGGTTTTAGTTCCATTGTCTCACTTCTGAGTTCAAATGTCATTGTTTATGGCCAGGTCGATTCTGATGGCTTCTACTTTTACTGGGTAATACAACGTTAATGATTCTTTTGGGACATGGTGATTTCCAGGGAATTGTTGTGTGATTAATTTGTGCTTTGAGAAAATTGAAATCGAGATTATTACAGTTGATATAAGTTCTATTAGAGTGTATTTACATTGTTGTGCAGTGCCATGTGAATTGATGGTCTCTTTGTCTGACTTTTGACCTACGCAGAAATAAATGGTGAAAGAATTTGATGACTTTTGTGAAATGTTCTTCTAAATGGTGTAAGGGGACTGCTTAAAAAATCTCCTCTAGACAGCCTCACGTAGGGCACACTTTTGCTCTTATGTATTAAATATTTCTGCTGTTGAAACATACATCTCAGAAACATAAGAAGAAAAAAACGGCACAGAAATGGACACTTCTCATTACTAGTATGTGTATTGTCCTGGAATGCGATGACACTTTTCTAATTTTATAGTTTGCATATCAAATTTTGATTAATTGGGTCCAGAAAGCACGTGTTAATATCATCATCAGCCGTGAGTGTGACATTGTTGTGTGGTTTCCAGTTGATGTCATACATCAGTGTCAACGCCTCCTCTTGTTATTTACTGAAGCAACATGGATGATGAGATAGGATTGGGTAATGGAAGATATCCACCCAGATACAGGTAGAGTGCATCAATAGCGTTGGACCGTGGTGAAGGCAGCAGCAGCAGCAAAGACATAGGCCACATTATCAGATAATGCCAGGGTTTATGGCAGTAATGCAGAGACATGAGGAGAATATGAAATAGATAATGTATCTTGTTTGTCATACCTACAGAGGAGAATTGCTGCTGTTTTCAAAGATTTAGACAGTTTTTACAGCTAATGTTGATAGTTACAAGAAGTTCATCTAGGAAATTACTTTCTGAATGGGTGTTTTTCTGTTAGATGGGCCACCAATCCTGGAGGACATGTGGCAAGGCTGATTAACCTGTACTGCAGATATGTTACATGTATATTATATATCCTTTGATGATCAACTCAGACATCAGAACAAAACTTGATGATATCAGGTCAGGTGAAGGAGTATATAGACAGTTCATTTGATTATTTATGATGGCGTGTATTCTAATGTGAAAGGCAGAATGCATTACTCAGGATATGTAAATTACATGTGGTTGGATGAGCTGAAAAGACAGACAGAATCTATGGATAGGTTTCTATGGCAAGCCTCACACTAGCATGTAGAAATTTCACCATATTTATTATAATTTGCATTGGCTAAAGAAACGAAAAGCATTTATTATTATTATTATTTTACAATTGGTGGATGAATTAGTGAATGAATAGCTAATTGGCTTAATGCATTAAGAAAAGAATATATACCAAACCAATGATAGTATAGTATAATATGCTTGTGAAGAAAAAAATTACAGGCACTTAATACTTTTATATCGCTTTTTAAAAGGTGGTAAATCAACAACAAGTCACCTGAACATATTTACATCTTTTCATATTAAATTATATGCTTAATAAACTTGCCTTATCAGCCATGTTTGCCATACAAACTTGTTGCTGTATCACATGACATTAAATTGTTTGTTTTTCATCTTGTATTTTCCAGGTCTAAGGCTCTGCTAGTGACCCTGGTATTGAGGCTAGTTCTGTGAAAGAAGTTCAAAGGAAAAAAAAGCCAGGTACATTTGGTTATTTAGAGGTGGTTGAAAGGCAGAAATTAAATTTGATATGTGTCGTCTGCAACATGCAGGTGTGCATTAAAAGATAAGCATTTTATGGTCAAGGTGGGACCAATAAAAAGTTCATGTTAATATCTTTGGGATACTAGGACAGATAAGTGGCTCTGATGCAGTGCTTTTTTTTTTTGTTAAGTTGCACACAAAAAATATATAAATCTTCAGTACCCTTCAAAGATAAGGTACAAAGCTACACTAGCTGGTACGATTAGTTCTGATGATTTAAATTGAATTATCTTTTTCTTCTAGCTGTCAAACCCAATTATAATTTAAATGCATTTCTAAATTATATTTTATTTAAGTTTAAGAGAATAAAGACTGTTCATTCTTAATGGGATGCATTGTGTTCCGGTTATGCCATCTGACTTTTTTTCTTGAGAGAGAGAGAGAGAGAGAGAGAGAGAGAGAGAGAGAGAGAGAGGAAATGGAGAGAGAGAGAGAGAGAGAGGAAATGGTGAGAGAGAGAGAGAGAGAGAAAGGAAATGGAGAGAGAGAGAGAGAGAGGTCATAATGTGCCTTTGAGAGCCTGATTCCTGGCTGCCACTTGACTTTTTTCTATTGACCTGACCTCTCGAAGAAAGCACAAAGAAAATTAATCAAGTCACACACCTGTGTTGAAAAGTGGAAGTAATCAATAGCTGCTAATTTCTCACCTGCAGAAACTAATCAATAATGGAAACTTAAAAATTATCATGATTTATGTGTAACATATGCCATTGAATATGTTCTGAGAATCTTTTATTTATTTCAGATGGTGCAGTAATAGCAGCTTTAACTTCCTGTTGTAATGTAGATTAGCAGCGATCGTTTCTGGATACCATGGAAACCAGAATTCACATTTTCACATTTATTTTGGCGTCAGCCTTAGTGGCAGGTAAGTAGCTTGCTCAATACAGCGTGAGGCTGACATTTTGTGTTTGAGTTTCCCTTCAACTGCATCGACCATGTTGATTGAGGTAAAAAGAGGTTCAAGTGTCATATTTGCTCTTACTCCTGGGCCACTGGCATAAAAGAACCCTCTCTGTTTGTTTGACTTTCTAAATAAAATCAAATATCCCGCCTGTTATTTTATGGAAGTTTTATTTTGCAAAGGGTATTTAGGTTGAATGGGTAAAAGGGACAATCGGAGGCATTGGTTTAGTGTGATCAGTTCCAGTCCATGAAAACATCAGCACAGGGTCAGTTTTTGTCAGTTTTGTCTGATATGATACAAGGTTGAACAAGAAACACAATACTTTGTACCAGATTCACACAAGTTCTGACCTTTTGCTAATCAAGTGCCTGATAAAATACTGCATTAAAGGGGAAATTCTGATTGTTTTTCTTTGTATGATAAGCACAATATCTATGTTTTTGCAGGTATAAAAACAATTGAAAGACAATAAAATGCTATTCAACAGATGCTTAATATGATGCTATGGTTTTGAAAATTTTCTTTTTCCTATGAACTGGTTTAGCCTGGTTCTGTAGGAGTGCTTTAATTGTTATAACTATGACATTAAAATGCTATGGTGAACACTGAACTAATGAGGGCAATACTGATCAGTGCCAGCTTGCCCAAACCCACATATCTATATAATGGTATAGATGTACCAATATACTAAATATACCTACATGTCAATATGTATAGCTGCATCAATATACTCTCATTTACAAATATTGACTGATCACCTAATATTGAATAGAAAAGCATAGTTTTTGGTAAATGAGGCAAATTATTTTTAATGGATCAAGTTTTTTCCAATCAAATTTATTTTCTCTAGAAACAAACTTATTTTATTGGCTAAATTTTCATTAGAGACAATAAAAAACCTATTTAATGTATGAATTTTTATTTATTTTTTTATTTTTTTTAAAATATTATTATTTTTTTTTTTGTTTTTTTGTCAGCAGGGCATTATTTATGTGATAATTATAAAACACAAACAGGAATATTTTCATACCATTAGCTTATGCCCAACATGGACGTTCCAAACACACATTTTGGCTTGTTTTATAATAATCAACTACCAAGCTACCAGTAATGAACATTTTTGTTCATTTAACGAAATTATTTCATTAGCAAGATTGATGTATCAGAACATTAGTATAATTTCGTTATTTGTTTAAGGACTGTTTTGATTTCACTGTTGGTATTTTAAAGCTGTTTATTTGTATTCTTTCAATTTTTCTCAGTAAGAGTGAATAAACCAGAATGTTTTCCTACAGATGTAGGAAGTCGTACTTGTTTGCTCTCCATAGCTTTTATATAGGATATTGTCAGCAGATATCACTTTGTGGCTTTTATACTCGGAATTCATCAAAAAGCAACATTTGGAAAATACCAACACTGACTGATTTCAGTGAAGTGATTTTATTATCAAAGAAATTACACAGAATGTTAACATTTTCATTTTACAGTTAATAAATCAAAAAGAGAAATTAAATGTGATTCCAGTACAGAAAGTAGATCTAGTTACATATGAAGCATATTGTGTTTCCACAGTCTCTGAGAATATCCTCTTATACATGTTGTTTCGGGTCAGCTCATTGGCTAGAAATATTTGAATATCAATTTAAAAAAAAACCCCTCAACTTAATCTTTAATTTTCTCACAAATTATGACAGTTCCAGAATCTTTTTTTTTTTTTTTTTTTTTTTTTTTTTTTTAATTTTTTTTTTTTTTTTTGGCAATATTTATTATTTGAAAACCAATTTGTTTGGTTTATTTGTTTTTTTTGTTTTTTTGGTTTTTTTTTTTTTGGATTTAAGGACCGCACTGAGTCAAATNCATTTTTTTCATTATATTGGCAATAATTATAATTGAAAACCAATGAGTTGGCTTAACTGATATGATTGAGTTACTTGGTCTTTTATTTTTTGGTTTAGTTCTTATTTTTTCCTTTCCTTCCCAATCTAGTGTGTGGTCAGTTTGGAGGTAGGTACCAGCGTGGCAGAATGTGCCGTAGTCCAACTAACCCCCCAATTCTATTAACAACTCACAGTTTGTGCATTCTTCCACACTTTATCTCTACATTTTCACTGTAATATTTTCTGTGGTGTATTTTAAACTACTGGTAATAGAATAAACCGTCATGAAAATTTTGATATGGGTGAATTATCAAGACAAGTTATACTCAGAGAAAGTTTTAGAAACAAATGGTGTCTTGTCATGAAATTTATAATGGTAGAACATAGATTATGAATGGGTTACTTGTAGAAAGATGATATTAAGATATATATGTATCATTTTAGTTTTAGATAAAAAAAATTACAAGTTGTTTTGTCCTATAAAATAGCCTGGGTATGTTTGTGAGATGTTCTGGCCACATTTGTACAAGGAAAACCACTGAAAACAGCATGAATTAAAACTTAACCATTCTGTTATAGAAATAGCAGTATTTGTGTCAGTGATAATTTAATAAAATACCAAGATTTATATAATTCCTAGAGCACTGGATAACATATAAAATGGTTGAATACTCTGTACTTCTTACATTACTGTGTCTTGTTCAACATTACTAGTAATACATGTACTCTCTCATACTCAGGGACTTAGATATTCTGATACTAGAGTATTATTACGTGGTGCTTGAAGTTTCATCACAACTAACAGTGGCTGTGGGTATAAAACTTCCACTTTATTATTCCATTGTGAGTTACAGTATACTAGCTTCTATCTTTCCTTGTGTGAGAACTATAATTGTTAAAATTCTTAAAATACTATTGACCATGTTTGATGCTGATACAAAGCACAGGCTTACTTGTTGATACTAGCTTTTTGCACTTAAAGTATTACTACAGTATTATAACATGTTTAATTTTCAGAGTTGTCCTTTAAACAAAGAAATAAAATATATATCCTGTTTATTCTACTTACTTTGTTGTGAGCTTGAGATTTTCTCTTGCTGTAGAAGCTTAAATCATATATGTTTATTGGTGTACAACCAATGTCTTCACACCCTGTAGATGTTTAGCAAAAATATTGCTTTCTACCAAAAATACCTTGCCATCAACTAGAATCTGCATAAAGATTGATTAAAGTTAGTTGACAAATACATGTACATGACAAAAGATAGCTGTTGATAATTTCAAATGATTAATTAATTTTTTTTAATTTATAAATTAAATTTTTTACCTCTCTTTAGATGTTCCAATGTGATATGATGAATAAGAAAATAAGCATGAAAAATAATTTATACAATATGTAGTAGAATGGGACCCCTGTCTTTTACATGATTTATTATTAAACATTTTCAAACTAGTTTAAGGTAGACAAATCAAGCTTGGACAACACCTGGTCCATTATATAAGAGTTTCTTGTAAAGGACCTGATAAATGAATAAATTATAAATTTAAAGTCGCAAGATACAATGTAAGTATTCCACCAAGAGTGCAATATTAATTACCTTTCTTGTTATTTTTGTTTTATATAGAACTGTTGTTTATTATATGTGGTATCTATGTATTCCAGTGGAGACAAACAGCCCCCCTCAGTTCACTGTACCCTCCATACTGGTCATCAAAGAAGATCTGCCTATAGGTAGGTGATGATATATACGTAGTGTTCCTGCTTGAAACCCTAGGATGGAATAGTGTATTAGGAATGCTGATACTATTTTGTTGGTCATTATTTAAAATATTTTCCAGAATATTTATTAATTTGTTATTCCTTTATATTTATAATGGCTCTTGTTGCCTAGTTATGAATTGGTATATGTAAGGTACACATTTGTGAATTAATCTATATGCACACATACACACAAGATTTATTTAGAGAAATCACATACACCACAATTTCCTATAATTCTAAGTTCATCATGTATGTGCAAGGTGTGTGTGTGTGTGTGTGTATATATATATATATATATATCAGTGTAGCATAAATATAAGTATCAAGCCAGCATGTCATCTTCTTTCATTGAAATCAGTTTTTGATTTGTTGGCTTTTGCAGGATCTGTAGTTGGAGCTTTAACTGCCAGGGACTCTGATAGTAATAGTCTGACCTTCACTGTCAGTGCAAGTAATACTTTCAAACTTGTCTCAGTTTTAAATAGAAATGGATATGCCAAGTCAAATATTACACTAAAAAGTCAAGTTGATTATGAGGTAAGAAAAAAACTGCCTTTTCAATAGTCCTTGCTATAATTATCAAAGATTTCTTCCTTTACCTGACATTTTTAAGCATTATGTGAACTTAAGTACACTCACTGCTTTGTGGAACTATGTTACTTGTGGTGGAATTGGTAGAATTTTAAAAACAGTTACAATATGACTTTTTAAAGTATTTTCATATAATTGTTAGTTTAGTGATACATATCCCTCTTTTTACTGATCATAACAGTAAGTGAAGACAGTTTTTACTTATGTATTACAGACAGTCAGTCAGTTTGCTGTGGGATTCACAGTTTCTGATGGAGTCAATACAGTAAGTAACATGACTTGCTTCCTTAAGCGACTCGTGTCTGAAGGTAATAATTGCATGGCTTTTATAAAGGACGTGATGATCATATGACAATTTCTTTGGACTTTAAATGGAAAAATTTTATATGAAAGTGGAGTCCATAATGTATTTATTTATTTATTTATTTAATTGTCATGACTATGAATCTGAATATATCCATAATTGATCTTAATGCTTCCTTTTCCATAAGTACGAAGCAAAAACTATTGCATAATCGTTTAGATTATTGTCTTCTGCCTGTCTAGGCATATATCAGGGTGTCACCAGTGGCAATATTTGTGCACTTTTTTTAAAGCTCCCGAGGGAGGTAACAGCTTATATTGTCAATGTCAATGACAATGCCCCTAGATTTACCTCAGCACTCTTTGCCAAGACCGTAAAGGAGGTAACAACAAGCTTTCTTTGTTGCTTAAACAATATATTTAATTTCTTTGTCATTACAAGTATGCTCTTAAAAGGGGCTTAGGTGTTTTCATATTGTAAGATTATGATATACCTCAGCAATTTCTATTGTTAATTTTACATGTAACCTAATTATTATTATTATTATTATTATTATTATTATTATTATTATTATTATTATTATTATTATATGTAATGATAAAACTGCAAAATGTGATGAAAACAGCATCATCTTATTTTGTATCACATTTTCTTATTACTTAGCACTTTTATTTTCAGAATACTTCTATTAATACTACACTGTTAAGTGTAACAGCAACTGATCCAGACTATGGGCCTCCTACTTATTATTTTTATGATGTAAGTATAGACTTCCCTCTTTGAAATATCTTTTAAATCTATGTATAGAAAATGTCCTTTGATAGTTTATTATAATAATAATATGTATTCATTTGCAACTTAAAAAGTTGGATTTTACAATAAAAACAAATAGTGGTGAGATGCACAATCTTAAAATATACTTTTAGCGTTAAAATGATTCAATACACATTAATTTTTCATAAAAACCTCAGTTCTTAAAATTTGATAAAGCCCATGGGTTTAAAGTTTTTGAAGATTGTACAGTCCTCAGTTTTGGCACAGTGTACTTATAAACCTGGCGCAAAGTGTAGGAACTTTTATTTATCTCTGGTAACAAATGATGGATTTAGTGTCCTTCGGAGTACATGTTATTGTACCACCAGCCTTAGCACTGGCGATACACATGGTTTTAGTCCTGTCTGGATCGTTCAGCCGGCTCCGCCGGAAGGCTACCGTTACCGCTTCTCCTCCTAGACGATAAGGGCCCCCGTACCCATCTCTTGGATTTAGGTCACCTAAATCTCAACTCATTCCAAGTAAAATTTGGGCTTTGTTGGTATTGNAGAGAGAGAGAGAGAGAGAAAGGAAATGGAGAGAGAGAGAGAGAGAGAGAGAGAGAGAGAGAGAGAGAGAGAGAGAGAGAGAGAGAAAGGAAATGGAGATGGAGAGAGAGAGAAGTCATAATGTGCCTTTGAGATCCTGATTCCTGGCTGCCACTTGACTTTTTTCTATTGACCTGACCTCTCGAAGAAAGCACAAAGAAAATTAATCAAGTCACACACCTGTGTTGAAAAGTGGAAGTAATCAATAGCTGCTAATTTCTCACCTGCAGAAACTAATCAATAATGGAAACTTTAAAATTATCATGATTTATGTGTAACATATGCCATTGAATGTGTTCTGAGAATCTTTTATTTATTTCAGATGGTGCAGTAATAGAAGCTTTAACTTCCTGTTGTAATGTAGATTAGCAGCGATCGTTTCTGGATACCATGGAAACCAGAATTCACATTTTCGCATTTATTTTGGCGTCAGCCTTAGTGGCAGGTAAGTAGCTTGCTCAATACAGCGTGAGGCTGACATTTTGTGTTTGAGTTTCCCTTCAACTGCATCGACCATGTTGATTGAGGTAAAAAGAGGTTCAAGTGTCATGTTTGCTCTTACTCCTGGGCCATTGGTATAAAAGACCCCTCTCTGTTTGTTTGACTTTCTAAATAAAATCAAATATCCCGCCTGTTATTTTATGGAAGTTTTATTTTGCAAAGGGTATTTAGGTTGAATGGGTAATAGGGACAATCTGAGGCATTGGTTTAGTGTGATCAGTTCCAGTCCATGAAAACATCAGCACAGGGTCAGTTTTTGTCAGTTTTGTCTGATATGATACAAGGTTGAACAAGAAACACAATACTTTGTACCAGATTCACACAAGGTCTGACCTTTTGCTAATCAGGTGCCTGATAAAATACTGCATTAAAGGGGAAATTCTGATTGTTTTTCTTTGTATGATAAGCACAATATCTATGTTTTTGCAGGTACAGAAACAATTGAAAGACAATAAAATGCTAGCTGAATAATTCACCAAACGCCATTCAACAGATGCTTAATATGATGCTATGGTTTTGAAAATTTTCTTTTTCCTATGAACTGCTTTAGCCTGGTTCTGTAGGAGTGCTTTAATTGTTACAACCATGACATTAAAATGCTATGGTGAAGTAATGAGGGCAATACTGATCAGTGCCAGCTTGCCCAAACCCACATATCTATATAATTGTATAGATGTACCCATATACTAAATATACCTACATGTCAATATGTATAGCTGCATCGTTATACTCTCATTTACAAATATTGACTGATCACCTAATATTGGATAGAGAAGCATAGTTTTTGGTAAATGAGGCAAATTATTTCTAATGGATCAAGCTTTTTCCAATCAAACTTATTTTCTCTAGAAACAAACTTATTTTATTGGCTAAATTTTCATTAGAGACAATAAAAAACCTATTTAATGTATGAATTTTTATTTATTTTTTTATTAAAAAAAAATTTTTTGTTTTGTTTTTTTTTTTGTCAGCAGGGCATTATTTATGTGATAATTATAAAACACAAACAGGAATATTTTCATACCATTAGCTTATGCCCAACATGGACGTTCCAAACAAACATTTTGGCTTGTTTTATAATAATCATACTAGTATATGATCCAACTACCAAGCTACCAGTAATGAACATTTTTGTTCATTTAACAAAATTATTTCATTAGCAAGATTGGTGTATCAGAACATTAGTATAATTTCTTTATTTGTTTAAGGAATGTTTTGATTTCACTGTTGGTATTTTAAAGCTGTTTATTTGTATTCTTTCAATTTTTCTCAGTAAGAGTGAATAAACCAGAGTGTTTTCCTACAGATGTAGGAAGTCGTACTTGTTTGCTCTCCATAGCTTTTACATAGGATATTGTCAGCAGATATCACTTTGTGGCTTTTATACTCGGAATTCATCAAAAAGCAACATTTGGAAAATACCAACATTGACCGATTTCAGTGAAGAGTGATTTTATTATCAAAGAAATTACACAGAATGTTAACATTTTCATTTTACAGTTAATAAATCAAAAAGAGAAATTAAATGTGATTCCAGTACAGAAAATAGATCTAGATACATATGAAGCATATTGTGTTTCCACAGTCTCTGAGAATATCCTCTTATACATGTTGTTTCGGGTCAGCTCATTGGCTAGAAATATTTGAATATCAATTTTAAAAAAAACCCTCAACTTAATCTTTAATTTTCTCACAAATTATGACAGTTCCAGAATCTTTTTTTTTTTTTTTTTAACATTTTTTTCATTATATTGGCAATAATTATAATTGAAAACCAATGAGTTGGCTTAACTGATATGATTGAGTTACTTGGTCTTTTATTTTTTGGTTTAGTTCTTATTATTTCCTTTCCTTCCCAATCTAGTGTGTGGTCAGTTTGGAGGTAGGTACCAGCGTGGCAGAATGTGCCGTAGTCCAACTAACCCCCCAATTCTATTAACAACTCACAGTTTGTGCATTCTTCCACACTTTATCTCTACATTATCACTGTAATATTTTCTGTGGTGTATTTTAAACTACTGGTAATAGAATAAACCGTCGTGAAAATTTTGATATGGGTGAATTATCAAGACAAGTTATTTAATTACTTAGAGAAAGTTTTGGTAAAACAGAACGGTGTCTTGTCATAAAATTTATAATGGTAGAACATAGATTATGAATGGGTTACTTGTAGAAAGATGATATTAAGAGGTTACTTGTAGAATATTTTAGGATTAGATAAAAAATTACAAAATGTTTTGTCCTATAAATTAGCCTGTGTATGTTTGTCAGATGTTCTGGACACATTTGTACAAGGAAAACCACTGAAAACAGCATGAACTAAAACTTAACCAATCTGTTATAGAAATAGTAGTATTTGTGTCAGTGATAATTTAATAAAATACCAATATTTATATAATTTCTAGAGCACTGGATAACATATAAAATGGTTGAATACTCTGTATTTCTTACATTACTGTGTCTTGTTCTATATTACTGGTAATACTCTCTCATACTCAGGGACTTAGATATTCTGATACTAGAGTATTATTACGTGGTGCCTGAAGTTTCATCACAACTAACAATGGCTCTGGGTCTGCTCTGAATCTGTTTTAAAACTTCCAAGTTCTTCTTATTTTCATTGTGAGATATTCTAGCTTCTATTTCTATTTACTTGTGTGAAGACTATAATTGTTAAAATTCTTAAAATACTATTGACCATGTTTGATGCAGGTTTCTGTCTACTACAGTACAAAGCACAGCCTTACTTGTTGATACTAGCTTCATGCACTTCAAGTATTACTACAGTATTATAACGTTTAATTTTCAGAGTTGTCCTTTAAACAAAGAAATAAAATATATATCCTGCCTTTGTTTATTTTACTCACTTTGTTGTGAGCTTGAGATTTTCTCTTGCTGTAGAAGCTTAAATCATATATGTATATTGGTGTATAACCAATGTCTCTGCACCCTGTAGATGTGTAGCAGTGACAAAATTGCTTTCTACCAAAAATACCTTGCCATCAACTAGAACCTGCATAAAGATTGATCAAAGTTGGTTGACAACTACATGTACATGACAAAAGATAGCTGTTGATAATTTTAAATGATTTTTTTTAAAAATTTTATCCTTTTAAATTTTTTACCTTCCTTGAGATGTTCCAATGTGATATGATGTATAAGAAAATAAGCATGAAAAATAATTTATACAATATGTAGTAGAGTGGGACCCCTGTCTTTTACATGATTTATTATTAGACATTTTCAAACAAGTTTAAGGTAGACAAATCAAGTTTGGACAACACCTGGTCCATTAAATAAGTATTTCTTGTAAAGCACCTGATAATTGGTTAATTTATAAATTAAAATTCATAAGATGATTATTCCACCAAGAGTGCAATATTAATTACCTTTCATGTTATTTTTGTTTTATATAGAACTGTTGTTTATTATATGTGGTATCTATGTATTCCAGTGGAGACAAACAGCCCCCCTCAGTTCACTGCTCCCTCGATACTGGTCATCAAGGAAGACAGGCCTGTAGGTAGGTGATGATATATACTCTTTTTTTAAATTTTTTAACACTCGGAAGATGGAATAGGGTATTAGGAAAGCTAATTCTGTTTTGTTGGTCATTATTTAAAATATATTCCAGAAGATTTATTTATTTGTCATTCCTGTATATTTATAATAGCTTTTGTTGCTTAGTTATGAATTGGTATATGTATGGTGTACATTTGTGCATGAATGCATATACCTGTATGCTTGCAGACAAACACATGTACGTATATGTGCACACATACCTGCACACACACACACACACACACATGCACAGTCACAGTGACATCTAGCAAGGGTCCATAAAAATATGTTTCTTTCCTAAAAAATATTGTTCAAGTTTATAGAGATCACATAGACCACAACTACCTATCATAATCCCTTTTCACTGAAATCAAGTTTTAATCGTATGTTGATTTCTACAGGATCTGTAGTGGGAACATTAAGAGCCACTGACTCTGATGGTAATAGACTGACCTTCTCTGTCAGTGCAAGTGGGTCTGCTTTTGACCTTGTTGAGGTTTCAAGAACATCTGGAAGTGTTGTGGCAAATATAACATTAAACAGCAAACTTAATTATGAGGTAAGAAATAAACTACCTTTAAAAGTTTTATCTAGTAGTTCTTGCTAATACTATTAATGGTTTCTTCCTTTACCTGACATTATATAAATATGTTATCAGGTGATGTAATTTCATTTTGAATCATTGTATGAACTTGAGAACACTCAATGCTTTGTGGAATTGAAAGAATTTTTAGAGATAGTAACAGTATGATTATCAGTATTTATATTTATATAATTGCAATGTTTGTTTAGTTTATTTAGAAGTATATCCCTTTTCTTATTGGTGATGACAGTAAATGAAGACAGTTTTGCTTATATTTACAGACAAGATCTCAGTTTGATGTGGGATTCACAGTTTCTGATGGAGTCAATACAGTAAGTAACAGGGTTTGCTTCTATTAACAACTTAAGTGCATATAGGTAACAAATGTATGGCTTTTATAATAATCAGGGTGGGCTTAAGACAGATATATGGAATGTATATAAAAAGGGAAACATTATTTATTTATTGATTTCAGTTCTTTTGAATATTTGACTCTGAGCAATTGATACTTAATCATAATATATGGCTTAATGCTTTCTTTTTCATTTGAAAATGTAGAAAACAAATTTATATTTGTTGAGATCATCGTTTTCTGTCAAACTAGGCATGTCTGTCAGATGTTTGCCAGGTGTCTGTCAGATGTTTGTCAGATGTCTGTCAGATGTTTGCCAGGTGTCTGTCAGATGTTTGCCAGGTGTCTGTCAGATATTTGCCAGGTGTCTGTCAGATGTTTGCCAGGTGTCTGTCAGATGTTTGTCAGGTGTCTGTTAGCTGTCTGTCAGATGTCTGTCAGATGTCTGTCAGATGTTTGTCAGATGTCTGTCAGATGTTTGCCAGGTGTCTGTCAGATGACTGTCAGATGTCTGTCAGATGTTTGCCAGGTGTCTGTCAGATGTTTGCCAGGTGTCTGTCAGATGTTTGTCAGGTGTCTGTTAGCTGTCTGTCAGATGTCTGTCAGATGTTTGTCAGATGTCTGTCAGATGTTTGTCAGATGTCTGTCAGATGTTTGTCAGATGTTTGTCAGATGTCTATCAGATGTTTGCCAGGTGTCTGTCAGATGACTGTCAGATGTCTGTCAGATGTTTGCCAGGTGTCTGTCAGATGTTTGCCAGATGTCTGTCAGATGTTTGCCAGATGTCTGTCAGATGTTTGTCAGGCGTCACCTGTGGCAATATTTCCTATGTTTTTCTTTATAGCTCACCAGGACAGTGACAGTTTATGTTGTCAATGTCAATGACAATGCCCCTTTATTTAGTACAGCACTCTACACACGGGACATACCAGAGGTAACAATTATTATTTTTTATTATTATTATTATTTTTTTTTTTTAATTATTATTGTTATATGTTATGATGAATGAAACTGCTAAAAGTGATAAAAATGACATCTTATTTTGAATCACTTTGTCTTATTATGTATCACTGTTATTCTCTCCCTTCAGGATACTCCTATTAATTCTTCGATATTATATGTAAATGCCACTGATCTTGACTATGGGCCTCCTACCTATTATTTTTATGACGTAAGTACAGACTTTCCTCTTTAAATTATCAGTTTTAAATGTTTGTATAGAAAATGTCCTCAGGTTTACTTGATGGTCAGTTATCATGGAAAACTTGTTTAAAATAAGATGTTATGTGATTTACTAAAAAGAAGCAGTTGTTATCAATATTTCATTTAACATTGAATTATTATTTTACAGCAAGTTTAATTTTGATATAAAAATGTTGCAGTCTTGAGAGCATTAGAATATGCAGGTTGAAGAGTTAATTACTTGGATGAAATATGTCTCAGTGTTCATTTGACTTTTCAGAAAAGCACAGATTCCATCAGCCAGAATATGTCCAAATTTAGAATAGATCAAACAACAGGTGAAGTTACTCTGATTGAAAGCCTAGATTATGAAGAAAAACCCACATATCAGCTGAAAGTAATGGCAAGGGTAGGTCATATCTGGGAAATCCCTTATTGTAGGCATTTTTTCTGAAAAATAATGTAAAATAATGAAGATATCCTTAATAAACAAGATTTGTTTTTGCATTTGTGCTAAATGTTGTTATTGTTTATAGGACCAGTATGGCTGGAACTCAACCAGTACCATTGTGCTAAATGTAGAGGACACTGGTGACCAGCCGCCTGTTTTTGAGAAGCCTACATATGCTGCTACAATCCCTGAAGACACCCCAGTGGTGAGTACATATCATAGCAGAGCAATTTGAGATAAGAATATTATGTTATTTATTACATACAACACAATGAAGGTAATATAACATACAGCACAATGAAGGTAATATAACATACAGCACAATGAAGGTAGTGTAACATACAGCACAATGAAGGTAACATAACATACAGCACAATGAAGGTAACATAACATACAGCACAATGAAGGTAGTATAACATACAGCACAATGAAGGTAATATAACATACAGCACAATGAAGGTAGTATAACTTAGCACAATGAAGGTAATATAACATACAGCACAATGAAGGTAGTATAACATACAGCATAAAAGGAAGATCGCAGAGTTAATGAAATGGTGTCTTTTAGTAAGGTCCAGTGAGTCAAATACCTACACTATTTAGTAAAGTTTGTACATTTTTTGTAACACAGAAGTTTTTTTTTTATGTTGTTTTAGGGCGCAGAAGTTTTGAGAGTATTTGCGCAGGATGGAGACCGAGGCTTGGTCATCAAAAATAAGATATGCTACAGTTTTGTGAATGGTATGTAGCAAGTAAAGAGAGAGTAAAACGGTTTTAATTCAGTTCCTCTAGCACAATCATTTGCCATACCCTTGCCATTTTATAACCACAGATAATTCAACCAAGGTCTTTAAGAATGTTAGTTATATGTATTTCTATAAGAAAATGTTATTTTTGTTTCCTCATTGTAGGGAGAGCCCTGACTTCATCTTATGAAGACTTCAGGATAGGGAAGAGCAATGGCAGTATACTAATACGCAGAAAGTTAGATAGGGACAAGCCAGATGTTATTCAGAAGGGTGGAGTGTTTCAGCTCACAGTGAAGGTAGAAACAGTGTCTTTCTTGTGTGTGATAGAAGTTTAAATTGTAACAGATATAAATATTCGTAATAGCTTATAAACAAGTTGTTCAGGTCTTGTTCACATCATATACATTCCTTAAAGATGTGCTGGCACTATCAGTTCAAATTGACAGAGATAGTATGCAGCAGGTTTTACTTTTATATTATTATATTTACACTTGTATATATACCTTTGGTATTGGTTATCCTTTGGGATCAGGCTCGTAGCCAGGGGGGGTTAGAAAGAACTGTACTTTTTGTCAGAAAAAGGTCCATTCTGGGTACAATTTGATCTAGGTACACAAAGGTTTCATTATAAAAGGTCCACTTTTTCAGAAAAAGAACCCCCCTTTTGACTTTGCTGGCTACGGGCCTGGGGATATTGGTTTTCCTTTAATAATGAATTGTCTGCTGCACAAAATCTGTCCATTGTAGGCTCAAGAATATGATCCAAACAATGATTGCAGCAGCATCAATAGTACTATAGATGGCACCGAGGCAACCGTTTACATCACAGTACAAGATGTCAATGACGAGACCCCAACATTTGGACAAAGTGTTTACTATGCTACCGTAGAGGAACAGTTGAAGGGGATCCCGATAACATTAAATAACACTGATATCAGAGTGACAGACCTGGATTTGGTAAGAATTTCCTTGTATTTTATACCTATATGATCATTCCTGTGTTTTGTCACGTGTTTGATTGCCCTTACGTGTTACAGATAAATGAAGTTAATTACTTTATTATGTTATATATTCTGCCATTTATAAAAAACACAGTACTTGTATTCTGTTTTGTGAAAAGGTTTTGTAGAGGATTATCCACTGAGTATGCCCCTAGTAAAATTGTAAAGTTAAGAAATATTGAATGTTTTAGGGAGACAATGGTACCTTTGAACTTTATGTCACCAAAAATGGACAGAATTACTCTGCTTTCTCCGTCACCCCGCGCCGCTCAGTGAATGAAGCCATTGTCATTGTGCGAGTGGAGAATGCAACGGCCGTGGACTTTGAGAAGACGAGGAGCGTGACATTCCAGGTACAGTGTAGTGTAAAAAACTGGAAATTTGCTCCCTAGAAAATTACTAAGTCAAGTTACGGTGGTGGCATAGTATTATGAATTAGTTCTAATTATTAATTGTAATAAAAAATACATCACTTAACATTATAAACAGTTCATTTGAGGTGCAATATGTTAAAATAAAGATATAAATCTAATCTAAGAGTTAAACAGTGAGATTTTATTTGTAATTTTAGATTGTTGCCAAGGAAACTCAAACAGCTGAACGTAGGACGAGTAATGCCACCATAGAGTTAACAGTGTTGGATAGAAATGACAACGCCCCAGTGTTTGCCAACCCTGAGCACATAGCATTTATCCTGGAGAATTCTCCAAATGGCACCCATGTGATAACAATTACTGTGAGTAGGCATATGGAGGCTTGGGTAAAAAGATATAGATGAGTTCATAGGATATAAATTTAAATTGCATTTGGACTAAATATGGTGACACCTTCTCTCTGAACTTGTTCAAATGAAATATATGGGAGAATTTGGCTACTGCCTCATATTTTCATTGCCAAAAATTCTCTAAAATAAAGTAAGAAAGTTTTTGGCATACATGATCCACATATTTGGATAAAACTTTATTTTTGTCTCAAAACATTTTGATTTAAGATCACCTTTTCCTCTTCATTCCAGGCCACTGATGAAGACACCGCCAGTAATTTTTCGGACATCACTTATAGTTTACAGGGTGGAAGCAACAGGTAATAAACAACAGTTCTGCTATAGAGCGCAGTATGGTAAAGATGATTTTTTATCCAAAATGTGTATTTTATGACAAGCAGTGTGTGTGGTTTCAATCTTAATATTGTTTGACTTTAAGAACAAAATGCAAAATGAGTTTAAGGAATGGGGAATATTTTCTGCTTATGAAAGTTAATTGTATGTAAGTATTGAATTAAAAGACCTGGGCCCATTTTAATAAAGAACGTTTAGCATTAACCAGTGGATAAGCATAACTAGTGGATAAATTCTCCTAACACCCATTAACTAAAAGATGGTTAAATTGTTTTTCATAAACAGTGTTCAAACAGCCAATTAGTTAACTGGCCAGTGTTTAACTGGATAAAATAATTATTTAATTAACTAACAGACTGTTTAAACACTTTATAAAACAAGTTCATCGCTCGTTTAGTTAACAGGGTTTAGGAGAATTTATTGGTTAGTGCTAAACATCCTTTATAAAACTGGGCCCTGTAATTTATCAAAGTTTTTTTATTTGCTCAATTTCTAAATCAATAAATTCTTTTTTTTTTTTTTTGACATTGAAAAAGACGAAATTTTGAAATGGGAAACTTGATATTTTTTCCTGGCTGAATAAGGTTTTTTTTTTACTATATTTAGTTTTGCAATCAACTCCACCTCTGGCATGGTCTATGTGTCTTGTGGGTCTCCAGAAGAGTGTCAAAACCAACTTGACTTTGAGAAGACCAGCATATATTATATGACCGTTGAGGCCACTGATGGCCGCGGACTTAAAGGTACAACACAGCTCGAAGTTGTCCTGAACGACACCAATGATAACACGCCCAGCTTTACTCAGAAGAAATACTCTGGTGTGGTCAAAGAAAACTCAACAACTTTTGAAAGGGAGATTCAAGTCCAGGTACGTATGGTAGGATTAGAACTCTTTAAATTGTATTTATTTTATGGAAAATTTTCTTTAGAGAGAGAGAGAGAGAGAGAGAGAGAGATGGTGTTTTATTTGCTAAGTACTGGTCACCTACAGAGAAAATTCAAGGGAATTCTGAATCCATCCTTTTCCAGAAATGTTGAAATATGGAATTTTTTTTACCAAGAGTTTTAGTGTGATGCAGGGAATCCATTCCTCTCTTAATCCTGTACTTCTAATGTCATCACATGATTGTAGGATCCTTTTAAGTATATGGTAGTGTGCGTGCGTGCGTGCATGTGTGTGTGTGTGTATGCTTGCCTATGTTTGCATGCATGAATTTTGTGTGTATGTGTATGTATGTGCATACATCTAAGCAAGTGTATGTGAACACTGTTGGTTAAAGTTTTGTTTCTATTTCCCAGGCCACAGATGAAGATTCTGGACTGAATGGGAAAGTGTACTACAACATCACAGGTGGAGACCCCCTGAGGAACTTTACCATTGACACGACCACGGGGATCATCAGCCTGGCCAGCCCTCTGAACTACGAGGCTATGCCCAGGAACTCTAACGGCTGGTTCCATTTAAATGTGACGGCCACAGACTGGGGCTCCCCACCTCTCAGTGCTATGGTACAGGTGGACATAGAAGTGGTGGTAAGATGTTCTGTTTGTCCTTTCATTCATCCTTTCTTCTTACCATCCATCCACACATCCATCTATCCACCCTTCCATTTTCTCCATCTATTACTTGTCCAGAGAGTCTTCTGTTTTAGTTGTATTTAAAAAGCTCAAGGGATTTAAAATTTGCTAATATCTCAATTTCCTCATATACTTTTATTTGCTATATCTCAATTTCCTCATATACTTTTAAATCAAAAGTAAACAAAATTAAAAGTAAATATTTGCTCATTTTAGGATGAAAATGATAACGACCCAGTGTTTGTGAATAAGAGTTACACAGCTGAAATTTATGAGAATGCAACAACAGGTTTGTGCTGTGCTTTAATATCATTGGTTAGATGATGTGCATCTTGAAAAATTGGGGATTATCTCATTTAGGCTTTTTTTCTTTATTTATCATGGTAAAGATTCATTCTGATGAATGTCATATACAGGATAACTGTCAGTTTGCCCACATTAATTTAAATTTTGTAATGTCATTGTGATGTCATTGTGATGTCATTGTAATGTCATTGTTATGTCATTGTGATGTCATTGTAATGTCATTGTTATGTCATTGTGATGTCATGGTGATGTCATGGTGATGGGAAATATAAAGTTACATGATACAAAACTAAAGCTGAATCTTTATAACTGAACCACTATGATGTTTATTTTTCCTCTGATTTTCAAAAATTGTTTTTGTAAATGAATTTGATTTATGTATTTTTGTATATAATATTAGAATTAGCTTGATGTGATAACAAATCTGTTCAATGTACACCTTTCCTTCAGCTCATATCATATGTTATGCTAGTTTTTTTGGTTCATTTCCAGGTGACACTGTATTACAAGTCAATGCAACAGACCTTGATAAACCTGGTGATCCTAACAGTATCATCATCTACCGCATAGAGAGTGGGGGGATGGACAAGTTTAGAATAGAGCCCAACTCTGGGAAAATCAAAGTGGAGAAAGGGGCCAGGTTTAACCGGGAGACTCTGGATGTCTACAACCTCACAGTCCTTGCACTGGATAGGGGAACCCCCCAGCGAAGTGCATCCTGCAGTGCAATAGTTCACATACTAGATGTCAATGATGAACTGCCACGTTTCCCCATGCCAGAAGCCCGGGCAGAAGTTTCAGAAAATGCATCCATTGGACATATTGTGTACACATACAATGCATCAGACCCAGACCAGAATTCCTATTTAAGATATTCTTTACTGGAATCATCTGTAAGTACAACAAAACAGAATTTATTGTTGGGAGGGGAGGGGGGGGAGAAAATTGTGTTGCCTTTGTGTTGTGAATACTCTGCTACTGCAGATGCCTTATATGGTTAAACTATTATAAGATGTTTTTGTTTTAATTTTCCTACTTTTATCAGAACTATCAGAGCTGGTTTGGCATCCACAGCAACAATGGGTCTGTGTATGTGAACAACACATTAAACCGCGAAAATCAGAGCGATGTCTCCCTGACTGTCAGAGTAGAGGACCAGAATGCGTTTCACCCCAGACCTCAGAATGATACAGGTTAGTAAACTGATGGACCCTAGGGTTACTCAGTTGCCATTCAGAATAAATGATCCCAGTACTAACTGATCAGCCGACTAAATATGGCTGACCACATTTCAAAAGCAATGCTGCTTCTTCCCGATGGTCTCCTTAGCTCTACACGCGCCATTAAATGGATTAAATCTTAGTGCCGAGGTTTAATTGCTAGACCCCTGCAGTGATGGAGAGCGTGAAGGCAGGGAAACCATCATGGAATTAGCGGCATTGCTTTTGAACTGGGCTTGGCCATATTTAGTCGGAGGATCAGTTAATACTGGGATCATCTATTCTGAATGTTCCCTCAGACTTAGACCTAGGCTGTATTCCCAGAGCTTTTAGATCGATCTATCCCCACGGGGAGTCTCACTAGATTACTGTCAGATAATCCGGCTTAAATGTCCGTCCCGCCTACTACAAGCTGTAAGGGGGTAATTAACTTTCGTGTCCACCCGGCTGACAGTTATTTAGCTTGAACCCCCACAGAGTTAGGTCGATCTAAAGTAGATCGATCTAATCTCTGGAAATGGGGTCCAAGACATACTGTAGAAGTAGACCATGACAGTTAAAACATTTATGATATCTTTTAATGATAAATATATCTTAAATATTTCCAACTTTTCCTGTAATTCATATTAACAATTTGCAGTAATTATATAATTAATTAATTCTTCAGAATGGTTTGTACTAGCACATCCATCCATCCATTCACATGCCTCACAGGCCAGATCAGGATTCAGTGTAGTTCTGATATGGGCTGGATTACTTTACATTTCACCAGGGCCATTTCATTTTGATATTTTTAAATATATTGAAACTGTGTTGCTGCTGTGTTTATTATCCTGATCTAACCTTGGTGAAGTGAAAACAACCTGAGTCCAGGTCAAAACTAGTTGCTATAAAAGTAAAAATAAAAAAAAAAACATTTTTGGTGAGTAGCTTTAGCGGTCAATTACTGAAAATACTTTTTAAAATGACTGGTTACAAGAATCTTTCACTTATTTTGATGTACATTTTATAATTTCAGCCACTTTAGTGATAACTCTTTTGGACTATAATGACAATCCTCCAGAGTTTATTGAGTCCCCCCCAGCAAACTTTACCAAGACTATATCTCCCACAGTGCAGTATATGTACACTGTCCAGGTCAATGAGAGCGCCACCACAGGGCAACAGGGGAGCAGGGTTGTTACTCTGAAGGCCAAGGACGCAGATCAAGGACAGCGAGTTAACTTCAGCATAGTCAACAACACAGACAAGTTTGAAGTCAATCCACTTACTGGTAATTGTTTGGATACGGCCTTTTTAATTTTTTTTTATTTTTATTATTATTATTTTATTTTTTATCTGGTTAACAGTGTATTGAAGATAACTGTCTGGACAGGTATAATTGATAAGTTATGTCTAATTTTCAAAAAGAAAAAATTAGTTTGTGTTCAAGGTCTGAAAGCTTTTGTACATGAATTTTTTCTTATAAGGAAAATTTGCAATAAAAAATCAGTGATAATTTGGTTTCAGTATATATTGGGTTATGGTATATATTGTGTTATAGTTTATATTGTGTCATAATTTATGTAGAGTGTGTGCACTGAAGCTGTACTGGTACATATAAAAATGCTAGATATGTTAACTTTTGTAAAAGACAAGGTTTAGATTATTTGAATTATACAGTTGTTATGAAAACATTGATAAAAAGCAACTACATCAAATTTAAACAGTTGGGGATTTTTTTTTTTTTTTTTTTTTTTTTTTTTTTTTTTTTTTTTTTTTTTTTTTTTTTTTGCCTTCTTCATCTTCCTGTGTAAATGCATCAACCAAAAAGAACTTGGTTATTTTAGGTGATGTTACTCTGAAAGTACCACTGGACAGAGAGCAGCGTCCAGAGGAACGATTTCAAGCCATTGCTGTTGATATCCCGTCAAGTAACACAGGACCCCCTCGGACCAGTACTGCTACTGTGGTTGTTATTGTTATGGATACTAATGACAATGACCCTGTATGGGTTGACAATATGCCAACATCTGCCAGTGTCCCAGAGAATGCCACTGTCAACACCCCAGTGCTGACTGTCAATGCCACTGATCTCGATGACGGTGACTATGGGAACGTGACTTATATCATAAAGAGTGGCGATAAAGACAAGTTTAGGATTGATCTTATCACTGTGAGTATTGATATAAATTGTTGGTGTTTTCATTTTTAAAATGTTTACTATAACTTATTAAAAATTTACTCTTCTGTTGTTAATTGAATTTGAGGAATTAAATGAATAGAATATGATGAATTTTTGTAAAAGAAGTCTGTCGCAAGATGTACCTTACTGTTGCTGACACTGTTGTACTATTTTATCTAGGGTGTTATAACAGTAGCAGGCCGGCTGGACAGAGAAAACAAGAGCACATTCTCTCTCAATATTGAAGCCAGGGACAATCTGGATCGGACACCAAGCAGAAAAATTCAAAAGCAGATCACAGTGCATATAACAGACATCAATGATGAGAGCCCAAAATTCAGTCAAAAATCATATTTTTTCCAAGTAGAAGAGGACAAAGATATGAGCTATGTTATAGCAACCATCACAGCCAATGACAGGGATCAGGCTGGGACAGACAATTCCAGATTGTCCTATACTGTTGTCCCAGACTCGGGCAATGGAACTGAACTGTTTGCCATCAATAACACAACTGGTGCTGTCCATCCTAAAGCAGTTCTGAGGGGTAAACAAGGCTTCTTCTACATGACAATTCGGGCAACAGACCATGGCTCTATACCTCTGACTAACAGCACTGAGGTGAAGATACAAGTTACTGATATCAATGACCATAAGCCAGTATTTCATTTTCCACGCGATCCCATGGTCTTCTCTGTTAATGAGGTAACTAGATGTGTGTGAAAAATTTTGACATTTTCTAATCTTGTCTTTATATTGTTTTTTTTTTGTCAAAGTATTACTTAGAAAAGAAGAAATGAATTTCTATTTCTTGGTTATACAGAGGTAGCTTTTGTTATAAGAAGCATGACAACAAGTGTTTTTGTGTTATGCTTCTAATAGATTTGACACTAAGGCACTTTTTGACAAAACTTAATTCTTATGAAATGAAAACAATCATATATTTGCTCATCAATTTTATTTCTTGAAATTTTTTATCCTAGGAGTTGTTTGGCAATTTTAGATGATATAAGAATGCATTGTATGATGATTATTATTCCAGAGTTTCCCTGTCAATGGAACCATTACCATAATTAATGCTACTGACCTTGATCTTGGAGAAAATGGCCGTGTCAGCTACCGCCTGCTAAATGACACTGTGTTTGATGTTCTTAGCTATCAAACCTTTAAAATTGACAGTGATACTGGGGTATTACAAACAAGAATTGCACTGGACAGAGAGAAAGTGGAAGAGTATTTCGTAAGTGTCCATGTTATTACAATGGTTTGTACACATGTCCTCGCATCATAAACTATCTAGTAATTTCAAAACATTTTTTTTAACATTGAGTATTTTTTCATAGCAACACAGCTGTACTGAGTGATTGACACATACGGTAAAGTGCCATGAATTTCGAACGGCTCTTGAATTTCGAACGATCTTAAAATCGGCCGTCTGGAGTTTTTTCTGGACCATGAATTTCGGCCAGTAAGCAATTTTGCGCAATCTTGATTTCGTGAATTTCATACACCTTAAAATCGGCCACCGGGCTATTCTCGCGCTTATAAAGATCTAACAGTCGGCAATGTTGCCCTAGCATACCTTTACCTGAGTACTACGTGTGCGGCCCAAGGTGCAAGATAACGATCAGTACAGTTAGTTTAGGAAGCTAAACAACATCGTCATATCCATTCATTCTGATAACTGGAGAATCTATTAGGAGTTGTACTATCGGGCTGTTGTTTCTTTACCCCAGTATTCTGTGTGAGATAGCGATCGGTAGTTTTGCTGAGGCGCACAATTAACAGTAGAGACTTCAGTACCAGAACAAAAGAGCAATATTAAGAGCTGCAATAAAGATTACCATTATTGCTTTCTTGTCTCGCTCAGATCGTTCACGATCTCCAGCTGACGATCTTCCGCTAATGAAGTCCCTTGAAATGTACAGATGAAATGAAAAATATTTTTTAAAATTATTCATTCCAATGGGGAAGGATGGAGGGTTAAAAAAAATCGAGAACGATCTCCGGCTGACGATCTGCCGCAAACGAAAGCCACTGAACGAGTATGAGCTTTCCCGTTTCACTCGGATTGCGACGCTGACGATACGAAAATTGCGTTCTCGTCTCGCCCTTTGGCTTACGAAGTCTCTTTAACAAATATGAAAATTGCCTCCTGGTCTCTCTCGGATTGAGAACGATCTCTCGCTGAAAATTTGAAATTTTCCTTTTTGTCAATCAGCTTTGTCAGTTGCTGTGCGTATGAAGGTCCGGAAGGTGTCCCCTTTCACAAATTGGCCTGTAGTTTGCTTAGTGTTTTGTACCGCATGAAGGTCACTCTTGTCACTGCTGCATAGGGCGTGGAATGTGTATCTTAAAGTTCATAGAAACATTTTATTGTGTTTTGTAAGCCTTAGGAAGTAGTTTCATCGTGACTGAATATCAGCGTACACTACAAAGTAGTACCATTCATCTGTGACGCATCATAAAAGCTAGGTACGTCAAATTACTCTAAGAAAATTTCTTACAACGTCCACAGCTGTCCCAACAAGCCAAGACGTCATTAAAAAAGTCGCAAGCCGTCTAGCCGTCTTTGAAAATATAGGCCGTCCGGTGATGTCAGCGGCCGTCCAAATGACGGCTGGACGGTTTGCTGGGAAAAGCCTTGCTTATAAGGGTATATTTATTTAACTAGGGGCTTACTGACATCACCCAGCTTACATGCGGGTGCATGCCTCCCAAAATTATATCAAATGATAAAATTGTAATATATCTAAGTTTAATTGTTTGTAAATTTTGTAAAAATTGCCCATGCCACCCCGTTAGTTTGGAGGGTTAAGCTGGATCAAGTCCGTGTCAAAATTCTTTGAAACTTTGCAGGAAAAATCAATCTTCCTTTGTTTCTCTGGCTCCTTGTTTAGCCCGATGATCAGATTTATCTAGTGCCCCCAGGTCTGCTGGAGCAGCTCTTTGAAA